CACCTAAATTGCTTTTGTTTCCTACTACTTTTTTCCTTATTATTATGAGTACACAAAAACAATGAATTTATTATAGACTATGTATCTAAAGTTACTGCTCTTAAATTAAGCCCCTTAAATAAAGATAAACAGACTGTACTCTACAGGCATTTTAGTCAAAAGACTATAGCAGATCATCTTTATTATGCTAAAAATATTAAATTAGACATTAAAATATTATTTTTTTCACATGCTCTGCTGCTATAATATTTTCTTTTAAATAAGTTTTTGATGGTTTGTTGGTTTTTAAAAATATGTATGAAAATTTTCATGCTTTTTAAAAAATCTACATGTCTTTTAGAATAGTCTAGACGTATTTAATAAGCTATAATAATTTAAGCAAGTAATAAACAAATAATAATGTTCTGTCATGAGTCTCCTCCTTGTTATGGATATCATACATAGACAAAATCTGTTCTTGTTAATGAAGAGTAATTTCACACTGATTTGTTCTGATGACATCTTGATTTTCGGTTATTGCTGTTGTTGTTGTTAATTGCCATTGAGTTGTAGATTTTCAGTTATTGCTGTTGTTGTTAAGTGCCATTGAGTCGTAAAAGGACTCAGGGACCCTATGAATGAAAGACCCAGACACTTGTATAACTTTCATTGTTTTCTCCACATTCACAGAGTTTCTGGAGGCAAGCTATTTTGGAAGTGGATGCCACTTCTGCTTCCAAGCTTGCTTTAATAGAGAAGCTCCACCAAACACTGTCCATCATGGGTAATCATTATTGCATTTGACACATCAGTGTCACAGTGTTTAGCATCACAGCAACTACTAGTTACCCCTGTACAGCAAATGGACAGACCAGTGCTATACAGCTTAAAAGCTTGACCAAAAACAATTAAAACCATGCCTGAGCGCTACAGATTAAAATCACCCACCTTTGGCTTGGCAGCATAACTTTCTATCCACTAGGCCAACAGATTTTCAGTTAGGCGACAAAAATCTAACTTGATTCTAGCAAAAATAGATTCCTGGTGCTATCGGAAGACAAAGGTGTTGTTGTTGTTGTTGTGAAATGCCATTGAGTAGGTACCAACTCATAGTAATCCTGCAAACAACAGGCATTTACTAGCTGATAAAATATCAGCAATTGTGGTAAGAATGTATATGAAAAACTTCAGCTGAAAACAATGTGTTTAATCAAGATAGTGCTGCTGGGGGAAAAAAAATCAACATTTTAAACTATTCATTAAAGTTTCAGCTTATCCAAAATTTTCTACATCTCTTGGGAAACCTACGCTTTTTTGTTTCAATACCTTTGAAAATGAGGTCTTATAAGAAAGAAACAAATGGCATAGAAAAATACTTGAAAGAGTTAAAATTTGTTAGATACACCAGTTCCGTAACTCACTAGGAAACAGAACTTATTGATTATCTTTGCTTTGAAAACATTACTGTATTCATAAACAAAGATCATCATAATTTTCTGTGTTTGGAGTGATCTCAGATACAGCCTTACATGGGACAGTTTATATTTCTTGTGTATTAAAATACTATATTATTAATATAATACAGGGAGCTTTGGTGGTAAGAAGCTGCAATCTCAAAGGCACACAGAATCCACCAGCTGCTCTGCAGGAAAAGGATGGACAATCTCTTCGCATGTGATTTACTGTCTCTGAAAACATGCCGGAGGGTCAGCTATAAGTCAGTTCTAACTCATGGGCACATAACAACATATTCTTTAAGTCAAAGAAAAGCTCTTTGTAGTGAAGAAAGGAACAGTTGGATACCTAACATCTTGCACTTACTGTCTCCTCCTAGGGACCCAGTTGCAAGATGCTAACAAGCAGCTGCAATTTGAAAATAATGCAGAAGATCTAGAACGCTGGCTTAAGGAGGTGGAGTTGCAGGTGACCTCTGAGGATTACGGGAGAGGCCTGGCAGATATCCAGAACCTGCTCAGGAAACATGGCCTCCTGGAATCAGCTGTGGCTACTCGTCAGGTTTGTTGCTAACTCTTTAGCTGGAAAACTGGTGTATAAGCTCAGAAGAAACTAATTGTAAAGCCAAAGAAGTAAGAACCAAAAGTAAAAATAAAAATTTCAGTTGATAAACTTCCTCTTCCTGTTATCTTCTCTGACCTAGCTTTCTTCCGGAGTGCTCAGTATATTTTGCCAGAACTCTGTTGCTAATGTAAACTTTATTAACTCTTATACCATTATATTCTAAATCCAGATACATGGTTTCTATGTGTAGTCTTGTTACTTACTAGTTACATTATCATTGATAGTGCTTATTATCTTTTTTAAGTCATTGGTATTCTCATTTATAAAATGAAGGTTTTGGGAAAAATCTGAATCTCTATGATTTAAAGCTTGAAAATATCTTGAACTCTTATTGTTTTTGCTAATAAAACTAAAGCTCAGAAAGAAAAATCACTTCTCTCAATGCCACACAGAAGAGCAAGAGCATTTCTAGGTTTGTGATGCAAATATCTAGGCTCCCAGTTTCAATACTCTCCACTCCCCAGAAATTATTACTTAAATAAATTTATGCAATGAGTTTTCCAGAGCATGGGTGCTATATGAGAGTTTCTGGATAATTTGTTGAAAATTCAATTTATCCAATACCTCCTTCCAGGAATGCTGGGATGGATTTGAAAATTATTATGCTGTTCATTAGACAGCCCCACTATCTTTTTAAATAAACAGTTATTATTTTTCTTTTTGGTTATTCAGGATTAAGTAGAAAATACAAGATAAGGCCCAAGAAATGGGGTGGGGGGGAAAGTCACTCATATAGTTTAAAGATAGATAAAAGAATTCCAAATAAAAGATTGTGGCAACTCATCCAAAATGGCTTTAACATCTACAGGAGGAGCAGGTTTCTAAAAGATAAAAATGATGAATAGAAAGCATAAGTAGAACTAACATCTGCTGGTCCCTTGACTTCCTATTATTTATCTTATGTATAATTTATCCCTCCCAACAAGCAAACAGTAAATAAATAATTATACTGCGTTGCTGCCAGACCAGTAATGAGTAACTAATGAAGATGGAAAATGTCTCTTGTACCTGATTTATCACACAGGCAATTAGCAAAGCTTTTATCTAGGAAGAGGGTTGGAATTCTGTCTCTATTGTCACACTATCTCCAATATGGTCCAAATGAGAACTAAAACTTGCTCAATTTCAAATAAGGAGGTAATACTCAAAAGCTGCAAGGACCTCTCCTATGGTCTGCCCACAAATCAGATTGACTACATCTGTGGAAATAATTATTGGAGAAGCCCATTATCAGTTGTAAAAATTAGGCCAGGTGCTGATTGTATAACAGACCATCAACTACTTATCTGCAAATTCAAACTGAAGTTAAAAAAAAATTAAATTCACAAGTGCCAAAAACTTGACCTTGATTCAAAAACCATCTCAGAACCTGGTTTGAGGCTTGAATACTGATGAGCAAAGGCCAGATGAGCTATAGGAGGATATAAAGAATATTATTAATGAAGAATGGGGGAGGAAATCACAACAAAGACAAACAAGGAAGAGAATCCCTAGATGGATGTCAAAAGAGACTTGACTATTGCACTAGAATGCTGAGAAGCCAAAGCCAAGGGAAGATACCAGGAAATTAAGGACCTGAACAGAAGATGTCAAAGGACAGTTTGGGAAGACAGCATAAAGTACTAAAATGAAACGCGTAAAGAGCTGGAGTCAGAAAATCAAAAGGGACAAACTTGCTTGTCATTTCTTAAGCTGAAAGAACTGAAGAAAAAAAAATTCAAGCCTTGAGTTGCAATACTTAAGGATTCTATGGGCAGAATACTGAATGATCCAGGAAGCATCTAAAGATAGGAAAACAGAGCCACTGTTCCAAAAATAATTAGCTGACACAGAAGAATTTCATGAAGCAACTTATGTTCAAGAAGCAATGGTGAAGAAAGAGGAAGTTCATGCTGTTCTGAAGGAACTGGCAAGAAACAAAGCCCCAGGAATTAAAAACCAATTGATATATTTCGATAAACAGCTATAGCCTTGGAAATGCTCACTAGGCTCTGCCAAGAAATCTTGAGGACAACCACTTAGTCAACTGACTGGATGGGATTATATATGTATATATTTTTTTTCTCATTCCAAAAATGGTGACATGACAGAGTACAGAAATTATTGAACAATATCACCCATAGACAAAATCCTGCTGAAGATCATCCAAAAATGACTGAAACGGTACATCAACAGAGAAACTACTAAAAATACAAGCTGAGTTTAGAAGAGGCAATGGTATTAGGAACATTATTGCCAATGTCATATAGATCTTGGCCAAAAGCAGAGTGTACCAGAGGAATGTCTACCTGTTTCTTATTGATTATGCAAAGGCATTTGACTATGTGGATCACAAAAAATTATGGCTAACCTTGAGAAGAATGGGAATCCAAGAACACCTTACTGTGCTCATGCAAAACATATACTTGGACCGGAAGGCAGAGATCAGAATAAATAAGATAAACACTGCACAGTTCAAAGTCAGGAAAGGAGTGCAACAAGGATGAATCCTTTCTCCATATGTTTTCAACATGTATGTGGAACAGATCATTTGAAAGGCTGGACTTTGAAAAGAATGTGGCATCAGAATTGGAGGAATACTCAGAAACAATTGCATTGTATAAATGACACAATCTTGCTTGCTGAAACTGAGCAGGGCCAGAAGCATTTGCTGCAGAAGGTCAAGGACTGATGTCTGCAATAGAGATGAAAGCACCACATCAAGGAAACAAAGATTTTCAACACTGGGCCAATTGGCGGTCCCATGACAGAAAAGATTTTGAGATTGTTAACAATTTCATCTTATTAGGTTCCACAACTAACACTTTTGGCACCAGCAGTCAAGAAATTAAAAAAAAAAAACAAAACAAAAAAACAACCAAACTAATTTCATTAGGAAAATCTGCTGTCAGGGACCTTACCAAAGTGCCAAAGAGCAACAATGTCAGTCTAGAGACAAAGGCCATGGTTTTTTCTCAATTACTTGTGATGCATTAGAGAATTGAAAAATGACAAAAGATGACAGAAGAAGAATGGATACTTTTCAGTTGTGGTGCTAGTGAAGAGTATTGAATATATCATGGATTGTTGAAAGAACTAGCATATATGTTTTGAAGAGGGTGAAAGTAAGTTTCTCTTTGGAGGCAGAGATTTTAAAGCTCCATCTCATGTACTTGGGCCATGTTGTCAGAAGAGACAAGTCCTTGGAGAAGAACATTATGTTTGGAAGGGTGGAGGGACAGCACAGGAGAGAAAGATCTGGAATGAGATATATTAATACAGTAACTGTGATAATGAGGGTAGGTGTGTTAGAGACAATTAAATTGGCTCAGGATAGAGGAAGGTTCAGAACTATCATGCATATAGCATTGCTATGAGTCGTAGTCGACTCAACAACATATAGCAATAACTCAAAGCTGTGAATTTACACTCCTCATTCTATGATTCAAACATTTTCTAAAATTTGTCTTAATATCACCTTTCATCTCATAAATATTATTCTCTCTATATAACAAACTTAAGCCTTAGAAGTTTCATTTTCATTTATATTTTTAGTCTCTTAAACGGATTGCTAAAGTATGGAAATGGATCTGAAATAGTAAAAACCTCTCAGTGTTTTCCTTAAAGCAATGACTTATAAACATTCTCAGTGAAACCTCTACATTTCTAATTTCTCTTGATTTTTTTAGTTCATCTTTATAAGCATTGCATTCTGTCTTATTCTTTTTT